GTCAGGCAGCCTGTCCCGAGGGGTCCACACACTGCTAACTCCCACGGGCTTTCCTGGTGGCTCCCACTGCCACGGTGCAGCACAGTCCCATCGCTGGCTAGTGAGGGGAAGGATGGGATGGGATGGGAGCTGCTCTGGCTGCTGGAGAAGCATCCAGCTTCTCTACTACTGTGGTGGTCTCTTTGCCAGGTCTGCTGGTCACATAGCACCCTCCATCCCTCAGCCCCCTCTCCATCCAGGGAAAAGGTTGCTGCTCCCTCCTTGCACAAGACAACAAGCAACAAGGGGTTGCCACCAGGTCATTAGGTGCCTGGCGGCCACCCCATACACATTTGCCCATGTCCCCAAGTCACTCCCCAGAGCAGCATTTACCTTTTTGCAGGAGAGCTCTGTGTTCAGGGGTCCTGGCATGCTCAGCCACCCCTTGAATTTCTCTGATGACTCTTTGAGCAGGTTCTGGATGCTCTGCTCAAAGTAGGAGTGTAAATCCTTGCTGTCCCCCTGACACATCAATTCACTAAGGGGGTGGGGGTAAGCGTCTGCAGCCATGTAGGAGCTGCTCAGCTGTAGCAGGATGTCGTGGGAGACCTACAAGCCAAGAGCACACAGATCTTCAGCGAGTCAAGAGTGATCCTGCATGGATTTTTTGAGAGGTCCTGGGCAGCTAGAGAGCCGTAACAGCCTACCAGGGAGCAGGGAGGATGGGCACAGCCCTCTGGACGTAGAGCCTGCACCACCAGGAGATGCAGCTGGGCTTCACCCCAGCAAGGGCACACCTCCCATGGGCAGTGCTGGGCTGGACATTGCCACCCACCTGAAAGAGCTTCTTGCAGTCGGTGATCATGTGGGAGAGCCCCTGCGTCGCAGCCATGTTCTCGTTGAGGTCCTTCTGGTCTGGCTTCCCCATGGTGCCTCTCTTGTGCATGGCCCTGTGGGGTGAAGGTGGCACTGTGACTGGTGAGCACTCTGCACCTCAAGCCCCCCCCATGGCTCTGAGCTGTGTCACAGAGCAGAGACCCCCACTCTGCAGAGCACAGTGCCGGGGGCTGTACTGAGAGCACCTGTGTCCCACCAGGGCCCCATGTCAGTCTCCCTCCCAGGGCACACAGGGAAGGGGTGGTGGGAGGTGTGGGCTCATCCAGCCCTTACCTGGGCGAGGTGCTTTCCTTCTTGGACACGTTAAGGTGGAAGATGGAGGGGGCCAGGCACACAGCCAAGTTCCCAGCAGTCATCTGGTTCTCCTCAGCCGAGGCGATGTCGCTCAGGAAGTAGAGCAGGGTCTGCAGCACCTCCCGGTTCTCGTCGGGCATGAGGATGATGGCAGCCTGCACCGCCTGCAGCCGCTGCTCCTTGGACACGACTGCGGGCACAGGCAATGCTGGTGGTCAGCGTGACCACCCCTGCGGCCACCACTGCTCCACCAAGGGTGACAGGGCCCCCGAGCTCCCCAGCCCTGCCCTTACACTGGTAGATCTGCAGGAAGGTGTCTGTCAGCTTGCTGGTGAAGATGGGCTCGGGCAGGTCGCGGAAGTACTGCTTGAGCAGGTCTGCCACGTCATACGCCGACTGCCCCGCGTAGCTCACGTTGTCAGGGCTGCTCTCATTCATGTGCCGCAGCACCTGGATCCGAGACTTCACCCCCGACTTGCGGAAAATGCCAACCTGATGGGGCAGAGAGGGGGTGAGCGGCCACCGGGCTCGGTGGGACAGGCTAGGACAGCCCTCCCCTCTCCCTGCACTCAGAGGAGACTCCTTGACTCTACTTAAGAATAGCATTGTCAGCAGGTCAGGGAGGGGATCCTGTCCCTCTACTCAGCACTGGTGAGGTCACACCTGGAGTTTTGTGTCCAGTTTAGGGGCAGAGGTGCATGGAGCTCGTGGAGTAGGTCCAGGGGAGGGCAAGGAAGATGCTGAAGGGACTGGAGTACCTCAGGGGTGAGGAAAGGCTGAGGGAGTTGGGGCTGTTCAGCCTCCAAAAGAGACACTGAGAGCAACCTCAGTAATGGATTCAAGTCCATGAACAGGAAGTGCCAAGAGGATGATCAGACTCTATTCAGTGGGGGAAACCAATCAAACAAGAGGGAACAGCAGAAACTGATGCCCAGGAGGTTCCACCAGAACACAAGGAAGAACTTCTATCCTGCGCAGTCACTGAGCACTGAACAGATTGCCGAGAGAGGTCGTGGATTCTCTTCACTGGAGATATTCCAGACCCATCTGGACACAACCCTGAGCCATGTGCTCTGGGCTGGCCCTGCCTGAGCAGGGAGGTGGGACCAGTGACCCACTGTGGTCCCTTCCAACCTGACTGACTCTGGGATTCTGAGTGGGGGATGGCTGAGGGTACAGCGGTGTGTGTGGGGTTCCCACAGACAATCCCACCCTGCCACTTCACCACAAGAGGTGACCCAGAGGCCCCCAAAGCCATTTTCCCCCCAGCACTGCTGCCCTGGCATGGCAGCATCACCTGGTCCAGGCACTGGCTGCGCAGGTAGCGCATGGCCTGCTGGATGCTCTGGGGCAGGGGCTGCCCCGTCCGCTGCACATTGACGATGGGTGGCACCCCGAAAACTGTCTTGTCCCTGTAGTCTGGCACTTTACTCCGCTTCATGAACTTCGGCACAGTCCTGCAGGGTGGGACAAACAGGCATCAGTGCAACAATCAGTGCCCTCAGCACCTCCTGCAGAGGAGAAAGGACCCTAGGAACACACACACTTGTGCTTGGA